TTATATTATTTCCAGATATCAAAGTGGTGCTCTGTAATTGTAATCTAATGCAACCTTCACAGAATCTATCAGAGTATTTTGTCAATTTACATTTGTTACATTCTTTTGGTTTGCCTTTTTTATCTCTTGCATTCTGTATTTCAAAATCATAAATAAACTTCTTCTCACAAAATTCTTTTTCATTTTCAGAAAGCTCCTTGTTTTTTTTGACCAATGAAAAAAAATAATCTTTGCTACTTTCTCTATCAGAATTAACTGCTGCACTATTATATATTTCACCATAAATTTTATATACTAATTCCTTTTTTTCTAATGATAACGATGATAATAGTTTATCATGTGACATTATATAATATAAAATATAAAATTCGACCTGCCGTTTTAATGAATATAGTGGAGTTAAAGAAAGGTTGCCGTGTTACTTTCATTTTTATTTTTTAACAATTTTACCAAATTTGAAATATTTGGTTGCACGGGAAATATTTTGTTTAAAGACTTGAAAATGGTAAATTCAGTATGAGATCAGAAATCAATTGAAATCTGAGTAAAAATATTTTCGTTTTCCAAAAATGATAAATGGTTGTGGTTATTTTTACATCGCCGTGTCATGCAAATTCTCATTGCTATCTATTTGATAACCGACAATTTATCTATTTTTGTTCGACTAAAAGGAAATCGTGTTTTGCTTTAGATTTTTTTGCTCGGTGTTTATCATTGTCTACTGTCTTGCACTGACCTTTTGAACCATTCAAAACTTATAGCCTTGTCTTGGAGCCTTAGTGCATGAGACTGGGATTAAAAACACTTTTTTTACATTTTATTTGTTGTTATTATCAGTCAATTCAATGATCGAATGTTGTTAGTTAACTGGTGTGTGTCAATGAAATATCGTCCAAAGGTTAATCGGGAATACTGGTAGTATTATTGTAATCGTAAATTTAAGGCTGTTGAACAAGCTACTTGAGTTGCTTTGCAAGTAAACCAAAGTGGAGTTACAATCGGCTAGTAAATGTAAACAAGGGTAAAAAAAGTGAATAAAAGGAACTTCATAGAAGCCCTTGAGCTTTGTAAAGGGCCATCTTTATTTATTTACAGTTATCTGGTATCATTAAGTGTGCACATATATTCGTAATCGAGAACCAAAGTAAATTCGTAAACCAATTAATTGACAAGTACTGAATTATTAATTGACAAGAGTAGCCTAAAGTTAAGCCATAATTGTTAATTAACCAAAATGTTATCTCACAATATCACCATTTAACAAGAATCAAAAGATTGTAAAAATTTTATTATAGGAAATATTATTTATTACAAGAAACAAAATAAGGATAAAATAAAAAGATAAATAAATAATTATAATGAATAAATTTATAGTGGAGGTTAAATTAGCCATTCATCGCATCTTTTCTTTTGCTATAAAATAATAAATGATTATATCTGACTATGATGTAGAATAGAGATTTCTAATGCAACTATCGAATATATTCCCGTTTAAGTTCAACTTCAACTGACTCAAATAATAATACAAAAATGTTGCTTGTTTGAAAAAAGTAATTTTACCAATCTTGCTATGCAAGCCAGCATAAATATTAGCAAGCTCGATACAATCTGAGAGGTTGTTTTCATCAGCTGGGCATTCATTTACGAAAAAAAGAAATAGATTTGGTAAAAATAATATTCATAACGTTCTTTTTTTGAGTGATTTTTATCTAGATTTTTGTTACTATATATTGTTTTTTAGTGGACTCATACAAATATATTATTCGTCTAATAAATTTATTTAGCCAGATAGAGGGACTTGGATAAATTTTTTTTATCAAGAGTTGATTGGCTTAGCCGGGAAAAGTTTTTCTAACATCATTAATTCTGGTTGGCAATAGCAAGGTTAGAATCCAAGCAACTATGTGGATCCTTACAGAGTTTTCTGCTGATGATAAAAATGCATTCCACAAACCAGTAACTTTAGGTAAAAATGACGAAGATCAGAGTATCCATTATTATTTATGTTACTTGTAGTTATTCCAAAATTGATTCAGGTAATATAATTTAGCTGTTGATTTGTATTCTGGCTACAACATTCAGCTCCATACATCTAATTTGGACATTGCGATTCTGTTCCACAGCAAAATTAGTTATTTATAAGCTTTTTGCTCCATTATGGATATTTTACGACGAATTTTCAACGTATTTCCTTTTTTGGGATCTGCGAAATTGATACGATCAAAACCTTCATATTTGTTTGTTTACTTTTTTTTTCTTTACTTTTAATTAATTTATTATTTCAATTATTGTTAATATTAATAAATA